AGCCCCCTACCTGTACTCGAACGCGCTTTCGGTCTTGATTTGCAGCCAAAGCCGGTCGGCGAGGCCCCGAGCAGGCTGCTGGAGGGGAAGAGTCCCGAGCCATATTCGGGGACGTAGGGCGGGTAGGTGGGCTCCTCCCAGCGAGGCCATGCTGCTGCGGGAGTGGGACGACTCCAGCTTCATGGAGTCTGCCAGGGACACCTGGTACTTGATGCATTCCTTCTCGTCCGGCCGGGCGGAGCCGGTGGAGCCCGGGGTAGAGATGGAGGGATCCGGGGAGACATCTTTGGGAGGGGTCGGCCCGGCGGACAGCGTGGAGGAGGAGGCCGGAGGGTAGACGGAGAGGGGTCCCGGGGAGCTGTGGTGGATGGAGGTCTTGGAGAAGGGGCTCAGATTCCAAGGAGAGGCACTGTGGTGGCTTCCCAGGGCTTTGCTCCCGTCCAGCCAAGGGAGAGATCCGTGCAGGAGGGGAGGGCGACACACCTGGCTCCCTGCGGGGAGAGAACAGAAGCAGGCCAGGTTACACTCCCTCGAGGATGGGGCAGCACGCGCCGGAGGTCTCCTCCTCCCCAGGCTAAGACCTCCTGGGGATCACCTCCAGGCACTGCTCTCGGGTGTCCAACCTGGGGCCTGCGCAAAGCTGAGCTCAAGGCTCGGATCCTGCCAACATTTACTTAACTCTACCCCCAGGCCTAGTCCCTTGAGCATCAGCCCCAGACCTGGCCGTAAGCAGGGGTGCAAATCTGTGGCCGTATCGAGGCGCTCAGGTGTGGTTGGCAGGAGGGAGTCAAGTCTTCAGATATTGCTTATTAAATGCGTCAGCCCCTTATTCCATTTTCCTCTCCGATCAGCCCAATGAGCTATTGTTGAGTTTTTCATGCCCCGGGCTTAAGCAGGCCCATAGGCAGGGGGGGTACGAAGAGTGTGAAAGCACCACCCCCATGATCCCCCAGGTAAGCATGCTCCCGCCGGCCAGGGGAAGACAAGAGCGGCTCTCCCCGTGCTCTGACCAGCCGAGAAAGTCTGGGGCTGATTTCCCTGATTACTTGAGGGACAATGGAGGGTGCATTCACCAAAATGAATGCGGTCCACATTTACCAAAAAAGCGGGCACACACTCTCCAATAATTCCTGCGTCGGGGCCTGTTAAGTAACCAGGGACTAAAAAGCACGGAGATACTCTGTCCGCAATAAAATAGCCAGGAGAAGACACAGATACGTTCATAACACTTTTTTTTTTCACTTTTAGTCTGTTTTCTCACATGGACTTGTATGCGTTTGACTCAGACAGCTTTCTAAGGGCAATATCGCACACATCCAAAAAGGCAGTGATCCCAAAAGGTCTTTACATTGGATGTGTTCAAACCGAATCTTAAAAATACACAGTTCTGCTTCCTAATTTTGCCCTGGATTTTTGCAGTCTACTCGGGCCTTTTTATCCTTCCATGTGATTATTTTTTAAAAAAAAACCTTTGCATGATCATCTGTTAAAATGTTTTATGATAGGAAATAAATTGAGCCCGGGGGCCGCAGCCAAATTATGTTCATTATGATAGTTCTAAAGATAGAGCGATCTCCACGGAGCGTTCCAATCTATTGTGATGTGCCTACCTATAGAACGCTAGCGAGATCGAAATAGACACAGATAAAGACACTGATAGAACGGTAGGTACTTAGGTCTCTCTGAGTCTCTGTGCATGTGTCCTAGGATTCTTATCATAGTAGCCCTTCGTGCATAGTACTGAAAGTCAGTTCTAAAGGAAGGAGAGGTGGGTTAGATGAACAGAAAGGGTCAAAAATCATTATCTTCTCCCGGAAGTAGCATAGTAAATAACATTCAGGCTACATCAGAGAGACCGCATTTCCACTTTCTGCTGATAAATGGGGGGGGGGGGGAGGATAAAGGCTTCTGATCCTTCGCAATAATTATTTTAAAGAGTCCCAAAGCAGAACAATGCATTTAAGCCTCCTGCTGGGACGCACACTCAACAAGTAGGTGAGGTCCTCTAAGCAGGTTAGTGAACGCGGACCAGCTGCGATGCCCACAAACAATCATCCCTTTCCATTCGATTTTGTTTTATTTTTTTTTCTCTAATTGATTTCAAACCATAGGGCTTCTCCGGGCTGCTTAAAACTCCAGCGCTACAAATTGAATCGCTTTAATTATTCTTTTGCAACGGGACACGAGAAGATTCGTCTCGAAATGTATTTAGGCCCTGTTAAATCAGTACCTATGTCTCCTCGGTATACCTGGGTAGGAGGCTCTGTGTTTGAATTATGACCCAGATAGTAAATTCCCATTAAATTCACACGATATGTAACTACATACATAATTACATGCATGTGATGTTTCATAATGCAACCCCTGTTACATTCATAATGTGGCAAAAGGCGAGCGAGTTAATCTTCAAAAAGTCTATTATTTTCCCATCAAGGTGAATTTAACATCCCAGCCCTGAAACACCCAGGTGTGTTATTCCATCTCTTTTCCTGCCTCCCCTAATATGAATTGATCGTGCTACAAAGATGTCTAGCGTACAGGCAAAAGCAAATTGAAGAGTAAATCCGCTGCTGTGGGAGGAAGACTTGCCTCGACTGCTTTTTCTTTAGCACGAATTTGGGACAAGCTCGCCACAAATGCGGCGGAGACATGGTCGTGCCGCTGGGAAGAAGGTTGTTGGGAATTTTATGACAGAGTTGGGATTGAGAAATAAATTAGATATCGCTGCTTCTCGCAGGATTTTTATATACTATATAGTGAGTCATAGGCCCATGCCCAAAAGGGCATTTTGCAGATTGCGTGTTTCACTAAAGGCGCCTTTTTTGGTTGCTGATAGATACCGCTTGCCTGCCCCTGTTGCTTTAAAGAAGCCGTTTATAAGATCATAGGCAGAAACGCAGCCCTGTTTCGGGGGAGGAAGTCCGCAACAGGATCCCAAAAGCCAGCCTGCCTTATCCGCTGCCACCCAACGCGCTGCCCGGGCCAGCGAGGGGAGAACTTACCGTGATGAGTCGGTGGGTACCTCTGCACCGTGGCTCGCACCGAGTTGCCGTAGTAGGAAGGGACGTGGTTCCCTTGTCCGTCGATGTTAAAAAGTACATCCACCTCTTCGGCCAGCGGGTACTGAGTTGGGTCCATATAGGAATGTCCGAGCCCGGGGTGGTGGGAATCCGGGTGCTGCCCGTTCAGCACCGCCGGGTGGTGGTGGCTAACCCACCGCGGCTGATCTGTCGTCACCTCCATCGCCGGCTCTCCGCTCAGGGCTGTCTCTCTTCCTCCTCGCTGCGGCTCGGCAGGCTTTCAGCTGGAAGGTGGCGGTGAGTTTACAGAGAGAAGGTGGTGGGTTGGTTTTTTACAAAAATAAAACGCGAATAATCGATTCCAAAAAGATGGGGAAAAAATAGTAGGGAAAACAAACTATTTTGAAATAGCTAGATAGAGATAAGAAGCGAGATCCTCGCAATATCTTCCGCTCTTTGCAGATGTTTCTCTTCTTTGATTTCCTGCAGTCAGGAGAGGGAGGGGGGAAAACGTGGTTGAGTACTTTTGTGCTTTATCACCTGACTGTTAGGCAAGAGAAAACAAGCCCCTCCATAAACAGCGATTTTGAAAGTCCACTTATTGTCCTAAGCACTAGTCCCACCTATTCTACTAGTTGAATACACTCTCTTTCTCTTTCGATCTCTCTCTGTGCAGCAGTGGAATGAAATAGACCAGAGTTACAAACGCAGGAGTTGCTGCGGCTGCTCTTTTGCTGGTTGTTGTTTTTGTTTTTTTGTTTAAGTTTGGTCAGCTTCACCAGCGATGCGCCTGCTTAGAAGCCAGTGCAAATTGCTGCCGAAGAGCCCCCAAAGGCTCTTCCGCGCAATTTCCTTCAAAGAAAGAAAGAAAGAAAGAAAGAAAGAAAGAAAGAAAGAAAGAAAGAAAGAAAGAAAGAAAGAAAGAAAGAAAGAAAGAAAGAAAGAAAGAAAAATCCTCTGCAAAAAAAAGTTGTTAAAGAAATTCAGCACAAACCTTGGTGGAGAAGGAGTATGTGACCCAGGAGAGATGAAGTTGAAACTGCTTGATCTGATCAGATTGTGCTCTCTCGCTCTCTCTGCACAGGGCAGGCATTCTTTCTGAAAGGAGCAGGATGGCGCCAGCCGGCTCAGTGCTCACAGACAGCTGTGGCGAGACGCAACTTAAGGAGGTTCCACTGTCATCAGCACCGAGTGGGAGGAGCCTGCCATGGGATAAGGAGGGGACAGGGCACACTACACACACGCAAACGGCAGGCTTTACCCCCTTCACAAATACTGCCTTACCCCCGGGCCCGGAAAAGAGTTGAAAGCAGACCCTTGTCAGGCGGGGAAGGCTGAGACGGAGTTCACAAGCCTTTTTAAGGGGGAGAAAAACACACTGAAGCACTTGGAACAGAAATGTCATTAAGGGCACCCCCGTGTTGTACGTGTCTTATTATGCTGTGTTATGAAATACTATTATTTTCTGTATTTCCTGCGCACTGTCCCATCCCTACACACACCGGTTTACTTTGGTCACAGGATACACCGGCCCTGGCGTCTGAAGAGACGACCCTGCCGTCCAGAAATGATGTCGCCTTCAGGCCACTTCTCGGAAGATCTCCAGGGAGCAGGTGAAAGACGTACGTGCCACTCCGAATTCTTTGCTACACTCCTAATATATCGTTTCACAAATAACCCCCTTTCAGGTCACAGAGCTAAGTTCCACGTAGAACTTGTCTGGGGGCTCCGGGGCACTTGAAGAACGTGTGAGCGTTCCTTAAATGTATCAACCTGCTGGAACAACGCGAAGAAACGTTGTTTCAGAAATACCCATTGTTGTTCTTTTATTACCTCCGATTCAGCCGGGAATCAAAAGAGACCCAGGAAACAAAGCGCGAGGGGACCGACGTTTAACCTACAGGTGTTTTGGGGGCGGAGGGAAGAGGGATATTTGGTTTGCTTCTTTCCTTTGTTTGTTTGTTTGTTTGTTTTCTGGTCGAGGAAGCCCAGCTACAAAAAGTTGCAGCTGCACACGGGCGAGAAAGAGAAAGTTCCGCGTTTGCTCAGCTCTCCTCTGACCACTTTCCTCCTCACAGCAGGCGAACGGCCTAATTAAAACATGCCTGCCCCATGAGGATGACCCATTTGGCTCATCAAGTGCCGGGTCCCAGCTCAGTGGGGAAAAGGCAGCTTTGAACCAGCCAGGCAGGGACAGGCTCCGAAAGGGGTGCACCAATCAGGAAGGAGCAGGAAGTTGTAAAAGCCTTTCCCGATTGGCTGGGCTGTTGAACCGACTCTTGGCCGTTCAGTCTTTTGAGCCATTGCATCCCCTAGCGGCTCAGAGGCAAGGCGCTGGCTCTTTTTTAAAAATGTGCAACAAGTGACAGGCGATTGCAAAAGAGCCAAGGGGGCAGTAAATAAATAAATCAACCTGTGCACGGAGCTGGGAGGAAGGGGGGGGAGGACGTCGAAGGCGAGAACGAAATAAACGACTAGGTAACAACCATCTCTACCTACGCGGGCAGCGGACTGATCGCGCAATTGGGTCCCTTTTGCGCGAATAGAAGCGCCAACATTTCAATGAGCGTTTAAGTTCACGCATAAGGGGACACACCATCCGTCCCCTCCTTGATGCGGGAGAACTGGAAATCCGGGTGCTTTAAAACGCATCGTGTCTTTATTCAGCTCCCCTAGCACATTCTCCCAGCTTAATTTCAGCGGCTTGGCTCCCAGCAGCGCCGAAAGAGGTAAAACCCGTTCCGCACTTGTCAGTCCTCCAGCGCTTTAATTAAGTCAGTGTAAGGTTTAATAATGCGCACTGGAAATTGCTCTTCACACAACCGAGAGAGAGTTTGGAATTGCATAGTCCCCAGTAAGTATCTGGATTAGGCACATATTTGCATGCATGCCATTTTTTATCACCAAAAAGAATTTGTCTATCTCGTCGCAGCGGATCCATTGCTGCCAAAATGCAGTTACTTATTCTGAGGTCAGCAGTTCGGAGGTTGAGCTTTTGCCCAGGGACCGAGGAAACATGCCACTCTGGGCTCGCCAGAGTGACCGGGTAGATCCCGGTTTCTCCATCCCGAGTGGCGTGGACTCTGACGATGCACAACATTGACACGGGTGCTCTTCACTCGCGCAATAAACCCGCGCGGGCTGATCCACGCAATAGCTCATCTCCTGGACTCTCCTTCTAAGGGCCTAAAGGGAACGATACGTACATCTCCGAGCACCGCCTCCGTGGTTTGCCCTGCCGGGTCGGTTTGCCGGTGCTGCACTCAGGTGGGCACGGACTGAGTCGAGATGGATGCTCCGTGTCCTGGAGCCAGGGCTGCACGGAGGCGGGGGATCCAATGTCTGCTTCCCGGCTTGTCCCCCCTCCCTCGGACTCCTGGATTGACAGCGTGTAATGGGGAAAGGGGAGGCTGGGCGTTTGATGCTCTCTGCATTGCCCTTCGCTGGCCAGCCGCGCCGGCGCCACCGGGCACTGACGTCAGGGGCCGAGGTTGGAGAGCCAGGCTGCCGCGGGGAAGCCACTCGGTGTGCCAGCGAGCGCATTAGCAGGGCAAGAGGCGGGCAGGCAAGGGGGCGAGAGAGAGAGAGGCGCTTCTCGGGGATGGGGGCTCACACACACACACACGACGAACCAGGAGCTCAAGGAGCCCTGCGCATAAATCAATCTAAGGCGAATTCGGATTGGATCCCCCCTTTTAAATCCATCCTGGCAGGAAGAGTGACGGTGCCCATGTGTCCATCCTTTGCCCTTTTCCTAGTGCGCTCTCTCTGGACTGGGGGAAGGGAAGAGAGGAGATCTGGGGAAAATCCCTCCCTTTCCGTAACACTGGCTCGCTTCTCGGGTTCCCTTTCTGTACCTGAGCCTGTTTTCTGCCTACTGCTCCTCAAGTCAATTTCAGCGGCTGGGGCCCAAAGTGTGATCCCTCTCCCAAGACACGCCACTGTCTCCAGTAGGTAAGAGGGGTTCTCCTTGGACGATCCATGTTTATTTCATGTCATGAGTTATTGCTTCGGTCACAAGAGGGAGGATCTAGCCCGGTTCCCATCAATTTCAAAGCCAATTCTCTTGGAGGAGTGTGTGGAGGATCATTTTAAAGGCAGCTCCTTCTTTTAAAAAAACAACAGTGTTGCAAGTGCATTGTTTGATCAGACAATGAACATTGTATGAAGCCCCCCTCTCTCTTTTATACAGACCGAAAGTCCCGGAGGAAAACTCGAGATTTCTAGAGCAGATTGCATTGGAAATTAACACTCTCGCCCCCCAAAAAGGTGAATGAAGATGAAGAGGAAAATGGTTCTTTATGGATTATAGGATGATACTCGTGATAATAAAATCAGTGTTTTCAGAGCGCCAATGGAAAGATGCCTTGACAGGTTAGGGGACGTAAAACCGTCTTTGGAAAGAGTTAGAGCCACGCACACATAAACTTGCAGTCCATGCAGCGAGATAGTAAAAAAGGACTATCCATGTAGAAAGCGCAAAATTGCTAATCTCAGCAAAATAAACGTGTGTTTCTGGCAGCCTTTGGGCAATCATTAAACTTGTTTACATAAGTGATTTGGAGGAGAAACGGAGAGGGAATGTTTCAATTTAATGCAAAAACATTAACATGTGCATCAGGGCCAATATAGATCGTGAGGATCGGACTAGAAATACCTACTTTATGGAACCATTTGACACGGATTAGGGTATGGACTAGAATGGCCTAACAAGTCTTAACTACTTTAGATCTACCACTAAACTCTGCTTTGGCAAGCACAAATTCCACCTGCACCCCCCACTCCTCCCTTACAAATCTGTCGCAGCTTTCTCTCCAACTTTGCATTTTCTGTGCAACTCTTGAGAGGGCGTGTGCGGGGGGGGGGGGGGGGGGGG